TGGAGGTTGCAGTGAGCCGAGATTGTGCTACCGCACTCCACTCTGGGCGACAGAGTGAGACTCTGTCTCAAAAAAAAAAAAAAAAAAAAAAAAAATCCTTACCAGAATAATTTGGTCATATGTTACCACATAGGATAAACAATCTATGTGTTCTTCCTCCATTTTCTCATTTTATAATCTATGTTTAATCAAGTCAGCTATTTCATTTCTTCCTTCATTAAATACTCTCTTTCCCTTTACTTTTGTTTGGTTTTTAAGACACCTATTTTAAAATATTCTCTATTTAATGGCAAGTCTCAGTAATTAAAAGTTCCTGCAATCTTTAAAAAAAAATCCCCATTATTTTCTTAGCTGCCATTCATTGACAATCATAGTCAGTGGATCCCAATATTTTCCTAAGACATCATGGTTAACAGGAATACCTAATATGCTCAATTTGGTTGATGGAACTAAGGTTGGAGAGTTTTCTTTTTAGAAGAAAAATGTCTAAGAGAATATATGAAAATCTACTATGAATCTTTTTCAGTTAATAACGTTTCAGAGGTTGTACTTTTATTCATTACCTGACATGAGCCTTCAGTTAACACAGAATTTTTTGTGTGTGTTATATAATTTTGCCCAATTATTTTCATTCCAGTAACTGTCAGAATGAAAACCTCCAGACTTATTATCACATTCTACAGCCTAGTCCACAGCTGATTGGGCATCTGGACTTCTCCCTGATGGATTCTAGCCAAGACAAGCCCAGGAGACTCTTTCTACTTAAGAGTTTCCCTGGCCTGGCTCTGACCTTACTTCTGCCATAGAAAGGCTGAAATAGAGATAAAGAGAAATCAGCTGTTTAGAGAAATCTTGAGATAAGTAGTCAAAGAAATAACACCAGTTTGCATATCTCATCTAATTCTAATAGAAAAAGAAATAATGTCAGATCAAGGAAATTCAATCACCTTATTTAATGTAGTAAAGACAACTCAAACCCAACTGGGGAAAAACAGTCATGTATGCAAATGATTCCAATTTAAAGCAGATTATAATGAATACCATTAGTGAAGCACCATGAAATATAAACACTTGGGAGTGGTAAGGATTAGTTCCATGTAGTAGGAGGGAGGAAGGACAAGTCTTAGGAGTAGGCAGCACTTTACTGGGTCTTGAAACAAATAATCTCTTGAAACTTCCTCAATTGATGGCACTTTGCCAATATTTATCAAAATTGTAAATGCATATATTCACTTTGTCTCACAATTTCACTTGTGGAAATTTATCTCACAGATATACTTGTATGTGCAAAAATAGTGGATGTAGTCAGTCACTACCATCATTGTTTGTGATAGCAAAAGATTAAGGGCAACCTAAATGTCTGCCAATAGGAGACTCTGATTAAATAAATTATAGTATGTCCAAATAATGGAATACATTCTGAAGTTG